ATTAAACCGCAGCTCTGAATTTATTTGACTATGGTTAGGCTTTGTGATACCACAGATTTTTAATGATCGCCACATTATCCGATTCCCTTTCCTTTGTCGTGCGCATGGAGGCGTCGACAGACTTTTACAATCCGGCCGACATGCATATGTAACAGTACTTACCTAGGGTCACAGACTTTATGCTGATTCTTACTTACCGTCATCACGCAAAAGCATTAGTTTCCGGGCCGTATTTACCATCACATCACTCCCGTCCGCATTAATTTCCGTCTCCAACATTTGTTGGCTCAGTACGACCCTAGCGTACAAATGACCTTGAAGAGAAGGGAGATCATGACTAAAAAAAGATAAGATAAATATAAACGCGATGGTTGCTCTGCTTTATTTATATTTTGAGCGTCGTTCTAAGTTATCATCACTCTACGGGCACTAGAAAAACTGTGCGACAAGAGCTATTTACAAACTAACGACTTTTTAATGGAAGCATAACTGAAGCACAACAAAACTGGGCAAAATTAAGATACATTGCCTTCTAGCTCGATGAATGTGAGGCCTAACCATGACTAAGTTAAACTTAACAGACGTCGAAAAATGCTACTCTTGCTGAGATTATTGACCACCCACGTTAACCTGAAAACTCTTCCACATTTGTGAATATTTGTTTTGCTTTTCCTCAAAATTACCCTGATATCTTTGTTTTCGATATTATCATACTTCTTCGCAAATTCCGATGTCTGGTTAACTGAACATTCACAACATTTTTCAGGCCTAACTCTAATTAGTGCCAGAGTTATGTCCCTTGATGATGTCGCCTCGACACTTTTTGCCTCAGTTAACCCTCCTTTCTTACCGTTTTGCGGGGAAGTGCCTTATTTGCGCTATGTTTACATCTATTTAAACAGCAACTGTTTGCTTTTTATCTTGATTTTCGTGTAACATACTTCGAATTCACCAAACTTTTTTCAACCTTGCAGATCATGTCTGCGAAGCAGGCCAATACTTTCAACCTAAAGCTTGTAATCGAACGCTTCACTAAGGCGGTGATTGATGGTGGTACCGACATCGGACTCGAAGACTACTGTGTGGGCTACACCGTACTTTCCAGGTTAGTTATCATCTCATCTCGCCCTCTAACCTGCTCTTCAGCCTACTAGATGAGCTCGGAAGGATAATGTACTTTGTTATGCGTGATGTTAGCAAGAAGCTAGACATTCTCAATAAGCTTCGAGATCCCACGGCCACCCCCGAGTATCATGAAAATTTCATCACTGTCAATAAGATGTGCTCCTTCGAGAAAAATCAGTACGAGGACAATAAGCCAGTTGGAAAACTGCACACCTATGGCGCCCGTAATCTACTTCGTCTACATCGAGCACTCATCTTCATAATATCTTTTTTTGAGAAAGTTTGCATAGGTAAGTGTTTTATTTAATATTAAACTGTGATACATCTTTAATGTGACTTTAAAGAAATTGAGCTTCGTTAATTTCACTTTTCGATGCGAATATCATGCCAGTCGCTGTCCTGTCGTTCGAGTGTGATGACAAAGAGCCAGACAGTCCATTATTACCACGGCTTCCGCGAGAATTGGGGTTCCCCTGGCTGACGGCAAGTGGTCGCCCTGCAGCTCCGCCGCCATAATTGACCTGAGGTCAGCTAACAGATAAATCTATAACGCAGAAATAACACGCTACAGGCTTTCTTACTCAGTTGATTAGTTTGTTGTTACGGCTGCGATCATGACTGATCTAGCCGGCCACTGATGTCCCGTGCGGTGCTTCTTCACGCGCGACAATCCGTGGCCGCAGACTTGGACAGTTCGAGCCATTCACTTCGCCAGTGCCGGAGACCGAACACCGAAAGGTCCAAGAACCACTTAAGTGAACTGATGCAGTTGTATTGGTAATGAGCTATCTCGAAGCTGGGGCCAAAACTCGCGCGGAGCGAAATTCAAAAGAAGAGAGAGCACGCCCGACTCATCGATGGATTCTCTTTCTTCACCACAACTCCCCTCTTCCTCCCTTGCACATCCCAATCGTCTCCCTACCGTTCCACCATTGCGCGAGTCCTGGCCCGTAACAACCTCACAGAATTGCTCGCTATTAGGTCTAGCGTTCGATAGGACTGTATCTTGTCGCCCATTTTATTCAATTGTGTCCTTGACTGGATTTTTGGGAAGGCCCTACGCGAAGAGGACGGTGTTGACCTTGCACCTGGACGCCAGCTGACTGATCTCGACTACATCGAGAATACCGCTTTACTAGTTTCAAGTTTTGGCTATCTACAGTCTGTAATGTCACGGGTAAATAAGGTCGCTGCATCGGTTGGCTTGTCCATAAATACCGGTAAGGTAAAATTATTCTGGAACTGCATCCCTGACCAGGAGAATGCACTCCTCCG